TAGATGTACTCAGTAAGACATTAAGCAATCTTGTAATAAAATTCCTTTCCTGCAATTTGGGAGAAACAGGCATCACCAAGGGTATAAACATCTGGAAGGCACTGTCTTTCTAGAAATGGACTCTTGCACAAGCTGTGAAGTGGGTGCAGCTTGTTGGTATCCCAGCCATATCAGTACAATTGGTTTTTTATTCACAAGTAATATTTTTCTACTTCCAGCCAGGCTGATCAAAAATCTTTCTATTTTTGTAGCTCATTCACCTTCTGCTCTTGGACTCCAGCCTTTGCTACCCCATTCAGTGACACAACTGCCAATAAATCACAGCTGATTTATTTATTTCAGGGACATGAGATTTAAGGAGGTACATTTTGAGTCACCTGTCATTGAAAATCAATTTAATCTTAAATAGCATCCAAAGCATTTTGAAGACCATTTTGTTGCCCAAGTATGTAAGTATAGATGGCCTGCAGGACACTTTTATGGCTTTCTCCATAAATATGTTTACAAACTTTATTGAAGAGAAACATCTTTTTTTGTATTGTCTGGAAGTAGTCCATTCTAGCTATGTGTTTGTTAATTTATTTATCATCAAAAGAGCACTTTGCCTAAAAGACAGGACTGACAATTGTGCAAAATGTTTACAATTCTTTGTGAAATTGTAGTTCATCATTAGTTTGTATCTGTAAGTTATTGTTATTAAAGTATTACTTGTATTTGAGTTACATGCAGCCTATACTTCAAAGCTTATGTCCACAAACTGGCAAAATTTCAGTTGCCAACATTCTCCAAATGACGTAAATAAAGCCTTCTGTTGTAGCATGCCAAACAAACACAGCAATGTGTTAATGGTATAATTGTGATTTTTTTTTTTTTTTATGAAGAACAGCATGACTTTACTAGTTGTAAGGATATAAACAGAAAGCAGTCTAATTGTTTAATATGGAAATGTCCTCTAAACTGGTGGTTATGACACTTGATGTGAAATAGTTTAAATATAGATGGTCATAGAACATTAATGATGCACATTACAAAAAAATGCACTATTGGGCTACTTAAAACTTTCCTATTTTTTCTGGTTTGGCTTTCTCCAGTATATATTTTATCTACCAAAGTTTCTGGGCTATGTAGCTATTAAATAGTCCAAGACAATTCTTAAACACCCAAACGCTATTTAAAAGTAGGCCATATAGTAGTTGAACATAGAAGCTTTAACCAATAAATCTATTTCACCTGCGTTTAACTTCAGGTATTGATAACAGACATCCACATTTCTTCTAGCTATTTAGGTACATGTATTTATAAATACAATGCAGTGATCTCTAGGACTGTACATCCAGAGGGGAAAAGATGTTTTGAAGCATGCACATTGCATTTGTTGGCATCTCCTTCAAGGAATTACATCTTTTCTGAGGCTGTCATGGCAGTATTCATGTGATCCCAGGAGAACCTGTTTGATTTAAAGAGGTGATAGGAAGTGTTATGTATATGTCCACACATACTCCAAATCACCTATTCCCCTTCAAATGCACCTCTCTGCACAGCTAATGATCATCACAATTTTTGTCTGGTAATATCTGTCATACTTGGGATAATGTTATTTCTGAAGCTTTCTTGAGGTCCCTGTATTTACAGTGTTTGGAAAGTTTGGCTCAAACTGTGTACTCAACATAAAATTGCAAATAAGTAATGAATTTAAAATCTTTGGTTGTTGATCATGAGTCTCTAGATATGATTCCTATGCAAATAACAGCAACAATATCAAAACAAGTAATACATCTAGATATTTTTATGTAATATTTTATGTAAATCCTGGTTAAACATACTGATTTTTGTAATCAATACTGATCCTGAGTTCTTAAATACAGGATGATGGCACTGGTTGCCTCTCTATTCCCTAAAAGGTGCTATCATAACTAATATAGATTTTATCTTTATTGCAAATATAACATATATTTCAATATTTATGAACTGAATGAGCAACAGTTGCATGCTATTACACAACAGCGTCAAGGACCCAGCTCATATAAAGGAACAAAACATTGGAAATATCAAGGGTTTTTATTTATTTATTTTTTTTACACAAATTCAAATGATTTAATGTTGAAAGCATGTGCAACACAGATAAGAGTAGCATCTTGTAAAGCACTATATATTTAACATTTTTGTAAGAAAAATGAGATTTACATATATGGAGTCCATCTACTCCTAAAAAAGAGTTTTCAGATTTAGGCTAAGATGTCTGTTTTTAATAATTACTGATACTATAATGGGGGTTGCACTGTAAATAGCCTTACATGTTTTAAAATTGTAAGAATGATGAATTCACTCATTTCACCTGTTACTTCAGAATTGTGGCACAGCTGCTGCATTTCACGTTTTTGTTCCTTGCCTTTGACATGCAGTACTTCATTGGATTTCATGTATAGAAATCAGATTTAATGTAATTCTATTGTATATTTACATTCAGAAATTATTGTTCTTGGCCAGCCCATATCAACTACTTTCTCTTAATGAGTGTTATATGTATGTCACACTTGATCATAATTTAGGCAAACTGTGTAGTCAGGGGAGGAAAAAACAGTTTCCCAAAGGGTAAATTAGCAATACTCTCACGCTATGCACCTCCAGACTTGCATAATGGCCAAAATGAAACAATGTGAGCGTGGGAAGTAGGTTGAGGGAGTTTGCATGTATGAATCTGGCAGCTGTCTATGGTAGGCAGAGCCAAACTCCCTACCATATAAAGAGAAGTGTCCAAGGGCCAGGCCAGAGTTACAAAGGGTGGTCTATAGATTCACTGGATCTTCTACGACAAAGGCAAATGTCATTCTACAACATCAGTAAATTATACATTTCATTAGCTTTTCAGTTTCTGTACTGTTTTGTCAGGTGGCATGTACCTGCAGTAAACTGTTTATAACAACTTAGTGAACTGTTTATAATAATTCTGATAATGTTATCAGAATAACCACAATTCATTGGGTTAAGATGACTAATTATAATTAGAGGCAATAGAACTCAGTTATGCTTTGTGTTAAAATACATTTATTTCTAAGAAGCTGTGTCCACTCTTAATGTCAGAGAACACCAAGGAGTTTGTTATAAGAACTGTCTGTTTTTAAAACAGAGCACATACGTACTTCTCACTTATCCCTGCCCTACTCTCCCTACTCTTATAAGAGCATGCATGCACACTTATGGAATAGGAGATAGATTGAGATCTAAGGTTTCGTGCTGCAAGTGACATTGTGGGGTGAGATAAAGGGAGGATCTGGTGTCTCTGTGTTGCATCAATCCATTCAGAAAGTTCAGTCTATTACAGACAGCAAAAAGAATTTGGGCTTCTGCTGGGTGTGAATAGACTTTATGGTAACATGATTGCTTGTATGAAATAGTCCTTTTTGTGAATCCAGCAATTTAAATCTTGTTGACACCATTTGCAAAAAGGGAAGCAATGTTTGAATGGTTAA